GATTTGATTGGTGACGCCGCTGCATGCGTGCACAATTTGAGGATTGTCTAGGAAAAGAGTTCCTAACCTTTTTGCACCTGCGTATACCACTTTGAGAAATTTTGGCGTACCACCAGACCTGAATATTTCTATAAACGCATAATATTTACTTCTATGAAAGATTCTTGAATTTAATTCCTGAAGAAACTTTATATTCAATGTTCAGATTATTGTTCATTCATTTTACAACATGCTTATAATAAACGAGATATAAAAAGATTGAAAAACTCAGCAAACAATTATTACACAAAATATACTTTTTTCTCCGATTGGCAGCAAATATTAATTTTGCTGACACATATCGATCAGCAAAGTATTACTTCTCCTGCCTAGACAGCAAAGTGGTTACTTTGCTGATTGATATGTATCAGCAAAATCAATAATCCATAAATCGTTTATAATTTCCTTCATATTTCATCTGAGACTTCTCCGGCAACAAATTCAACTCTATATTTTTTGCCACCTCCCTCATTCCTAGAGGTGTAAGTACTTCGCTATCACTGTCCATTATATAATAATTTGAATATACCGATATTTTTTCGCACAACTGTCAGAAATTTCATGAATTTTCAAACTATAATTATTATGCACATTTCCATAGCAACCAACCATTCCAACAACAGCGATTTCTATCAAATTTCATTTTAATTGAACAATATAGAAAAAATAAAGAGATATACATCATTATGAACAATCGGAGAAAAAATTATATGTTCAACTCGGCAGCAAAGTAGATTGACTGCCTAAGCTGGATTCCTAGCCTCGCTACGCTCGGCTATGAATTCAGCCTCGGTAGTCAATCTACTACTTTGCTAGTTAAACAAATAACTATTTTCTACAGACGTCAAAAAATGACAAGGTTCGCACATTGATAACAAATTGCGAAGTGACACTTTTTTTCAGTTTCCTACGTTACCATGATACCTTGCACAAAACAATGCGCGAAGTAAAATGTGCGCGAAGTACCTACTTCGCGCATTGTTATGTAAAATATATGAGATATTTATATTTCAACTGTATGGTTCTCAATCGAGCAAACATCCACGAAATCATTTATTCCTGATGATGTTCAACAATAACTTTGTTTTATCTCTTGGAGCGCACGGAAGGAAATTCCTATTATGTTCGTGGAACATCGTGCGTACCTAGGGACGATAGGAGGAGGCCTTTGAAGCCAGTTCAACATTATTTTTTATATCAAGCTAAGCATATTTTTACTTTAGAACTATATTTTTTGACGTTTGTAGAAAAAATATTGTTTGCAACTCGAGCGCGAAATACTTTGGTCATCTCGACTATTTTTTAACGATTTAAAAATCAGATCTCGATCACCAAAGTAGCATTTCGCACTCTAGATACGAAAATAACTATTATCGTATATTTAGTGCGAAACTTGTGTTTTGCCTGTGATTAGTATCAACATCAGGAGTAATGGAACTTATCTTCACCCTTAAGTCCTCCTCTACACTTATTCTCCTTCTATCTTTTATGTAGAAGAGTCCCTGAACTTCCAAGTTGTTGAGTAATAGCATGTTGCTCACATCACTTACGCGTACTATCTGAAACGTGAAACGTTCTCATGTACCACCAGTGGTAAGCGTACCACCGGTTGGGAACCACTAGTTTAGGACATGTTGAAAACCTATATAAATCATGACATTAAAAGATGCACACATTAAGAAAACGTTGCACAAAATCTATCATGACCTGCCAGTCTACTAGTCTTCTGCGCAACAAGATGTCTGTATGCCACGATTTGACTGTTCCCATAGACAAACCTAACCTGTTGTAAGAGGATTGAACTGCTTCGAGGTTTGTTGTCAGAATGCATTGTTTTTCATGGCACTATAAAGTTCAATCGATTATAATATGTGCTTATTTTTATAAAATATTAATTATCTTCTGAATTGAATCAACTTGAAACTGTGAAAAAGCATAGTCCATGAAAAAAATTAGAAATGACACGCTTCACTGCAAGGTGATATCCGAATATGAAGTGACGATCTCTACTCCAAAAGATAGCCAAGGCCTCCATGAAAAAGATAAGAAATGACACGCTTATAATACGCTTGAGTAATGAAATAGTGAGTGAGTCCAATTTGAAAGAATCAAGATATTGTTTCTCAAAGTTTACCTGAATTAATGTGTCACTGCAAGGTGATATCCGAATATAAAGTGACGATCTCTATTCCAAAAGATAGCCAAGGCAGTTGCTCGATATTCTCGAAACCAAATACCCTGTTATTCTTAGAGAAAAAAAAGATCAACTTCGTAATGCATAGAGCGCATTGCAAAAACCAAACGGATTTATAAAGCCCAACAAAGGATGAATTCAATAGTAGATTGTTTCATTTGGATCAAAGGTGGCACTTTGTTAGACAAGCTAATGTTGCAATTGCGAGGCGAAGCGTTTAGAGAAACCGAGCGGAAGCAAAATTTTCGAGTCAAACAAAGTCAATCTGATCTGAATGAAACATACTATCATTTCTACAACCGAAAGAATCAACTGATATTGATATATGTAACCACCAATGTGACTTACGTGACAGATTATTATAATACCTTTATTATAGTGATATAATAATATAGGTAAGTAGAGAAGCAAGACCTCAGACTACTTTACATTAGAATATTGGTGGACGATGACTTTACTTTGTTACGATTTGTGTTGACATGCATCATCAGATACCACAGGCACGAATTCAATACAATACCCGAAACGTGGATGCCGTGCCATATGTATGCAATGCAACAAATAATCCATGTGGTGAGTATATTGTACCTGCATTCACAGATCAGGTTCATTCAATTCCCAAGGATGGTTGAATTGAAGTTTCAAAATAAATACAACTACAGAGTGACTCATTCGTGTATTCTATTGAATCGATGAATCGATGAATTCATTTGGACCAGGTTTCTGCCCTATTAGCAAATACCGTGGCAGTGCACAAGAAGTGAATATCAACAAATATAATAGCGATTATTTATTTCTCTCCATACTCAACTGTACTTGGCTCGGTAATCAAACGAAGGTAAACAATATCGTTGTGTGAGACAAAAAGGTATTGCTGGCCGTGATTATTCAAAAACAAGTTATTCAATCAATCAGGACCCGAGAATGAATGGAATACAGATCAAACAAGTATGTGAATTTTGGAGGCTTTCCTGATCAAAACAAAAATACTTGATATGGTGCATTTATATCTCCAGCATGTGTATGAAATGCCAAATCTGACAAAATCGAGAACAAATCAGGTATACGTCCCAACCCAAATCACCAACCATAACTATGATGACCTATAGTACATCCTTTTTAGTTCCTAGAAGCCAAAGTTCACCTCAAGCTCCTATATAGAAACTAAAAGTGTTGCCTAGCAACATATCTATGTTTGTTTTAGTAATAAAAACGTCACATCAAGAGCTTATTTTGGTATTAAAATAGACGACTTCAGTGTCGCTTGCAGAAAAAAAAATGTATACGAGTTGCTTAACAAACATTGTATATGGCAAACAAATTCTACAAACTGCACTTTGCATGACCTCCAGTTTGCAGTGCCGTTTGGTTCATTACCGATGATGTAGGTGCAATCGAGCTTTATTCCGATTTCAATGACATACAAATCGACTGCGCTTTTGAAGAGAGGTTTGAAACCATATCGCCAAGTATAAATTTTCGATTCCTATAGAATGAATGAGATCTAAATGGGAGCAATTCGCAACTAGAAGAAATTCAATTTCCAGACTCGTTTTAATTCTAAATCCTAATTCTCCAAATACCGAGATAGTTTCTGACTGAATCTCATTAAGGCACACGCTATACAAACTACAAATAACCCAATCTCACTCAACATAATGGACCAACAACAATATGCATTTTCTCCGTGAATGCCTCTAGGGAATTCATAGCATAAAGGGGTCACATTGCTATTGCTGTTCCAGTTTATACAAAGCTCTGCCGCCCACCTTCCTCTATCGCCCAACACAGGTCTCTCATTTGTGTCCAATCCAATTACTGCCGCTCCTTCATAATAATTGAAACATTGGGCAGAACCTTCTATGATCCCTTCACATTCGGTAATTGGAAATCGATACGCGACGGGAACAAATTACGAAGGAGGTTCTTCAACGGTAATAATGATGGCCTCCAGATGCCCATCGTCGGATTTGGAGCAGCAAAACATCAGGCAGCGGGGCACTAGGTCTAGGACGAGCTAAATCTGAGGAGTCGGATTTACCCGAACGTAAACAGTTCCTCGAATAACGCAGCGGAATTATTTCTTTGGAGCAATTAATCTAGAGAAAATCTTTCATAATACAAGAGAAAGAAATATTCCATTTCAGCTTGAGGTCATGTTGACAAGAAATCGTGAGCTAACATTTGATATTTTATCCCGTGTATCCTACAGTCTTTTTCTGTGACATAAAAAAGCACGAATTATATCAACTTTCACTCTTCACCTAATCGGACCAATCAGAAGCCAGAGACAACGTGAGCTTATCGCGAAAACTTGTGCTGTCTTTCAATTCTGATTGGTCCCATCCCAGCCAGGCCATCTTTTATCGAGTATTATTTCAGGCAGTTCGCTCCATCTGGTGGTCTGATACCATTGATATCTATTTCGGCGTTGCAGATGGATCAATTTTGGCACCAACACCAAAACTCATGTTTGTACCTTCTCTAGAAAGTCGGAACTCAGTATGACTGATATAATGATATAACGATGCCTATTACCAACTTTCCCACCAAATCCACTATATCTATGCTCGGTATTTCCATCATCAAAACTGTTCCATGTGCTGCTTCACAAAAACTCTTATTTTTATTACGTGCAAAAATCTACTAGAGACCCCAACAGCTTCCTATGATCTACTATGCACAAATAAGGCCTGTTTCAAAATATTCATTTACGTAGTTCAAATACAATTTGGTTTTAAAAAAATAACAAATCCCATCCTAGAAGTCAAATATTCCACCCGACAGTATCCCTCCGCCTGAAGAAGAGTAAATAATAAGGCACTTGTGTGTCCTGCGACTTCAACACTTGCTCTTCGGTGACGTCCATGGTCCTAACGGTGGCGTAATCGAAGCGCAACCAACAGCTATGTTCCATTTGGAAAGCATCGGTATAATAGGGGCCCCTGGTTGCCTTATCGCCGACGTGGTAGGTTGAGTAATTGAGTATTCTGTGCCACGGAAACAACATATACTTTCTTCCTTCGGGCGTTTGTGACTTCGAAGATAACAACCTCGATTCGATTTCTAGGTCGACAGAGAATTCCAACGCCTTGATCATTTTCGTACAGCCGTTTGGCGTGATATCGAAGAATTTCAGATGCAGAATAAGAATGACTGGCAGCACATCCAACATCAATTATTCCCACATATGGCGTTCAGCAACCAAACATACACTGATGTTCTTACATATTCCATCCAGAGAAGGGCCATCCGCCTGGTGGGTGATTCTTGAAATAAGAAATGCGTGGATCATGTTCTTCATATCTGATTATTCGAAGGGATTTAAACTTCGTACAGATTTTCGGAAAACAATCTACATCATAATTATTCACTAATCAGTCATGACAACATCACATGGAACTAACTAGACCTTTTTTCTTTAAACAATACCAGCAGATGTCACTAAAAATCCCTCTAATACAGTGTGCCACGCTGGTGTGTCCAAAGTTTATATCAATCATAGCTCATGATAATAGGTATTTCAACAGTGATGCCACACTCACTAGCTCTTCGACCTCTTTAGAACAAAGTCGGCGACCTTTCACTCTTTTATTCCTCGAGAAATGTTTCAGGATTCTCTGCATGTTATCATTCCTTCACTGTAGCAATGCCAGTCAGACAAACTCGAAAATCCCAGTCGGCACATCCGTTCTTTGTTAATCTTGAAAAATATCGGACATCACTTTACCAGAACTTGTTCGTCTACCGGGTGTTTATCAAAAGTGGCTAACCCCTATAACTCCATTGTTTCTACAGATAAACATATGAAATCTGGTGTGTAAGTACAGTACATAAATATGCATAGTTTGACGTATTCAATTGATCTCTGTCACTTCCGGTACGATCGGAAACGACCCTTATTTTCTTATTTCAAATAGGCCACCGTGTATATATTTACTTATTTCGATAAAGAATCATCCTCTGAAATTGAGAATTGACATTCTCTCCCAAATCGGATAGAATAATATGTTGTTTTATGATAAAAAGACAAAATGAAAATAGAAATGTATAGGAATACTTGTATGAACTCTGATCTTGATGAGCTTGGAACTGAATCTTATTATTTCATCCGATTTGAGAGATAATGTCAATTCTCAATTTCAGAGGATTTTCAATCTTCATGCTCTTCTTTTGAAAGTTCAACAGGGAGATACTCGAATAGGGATCCAATAATAATAGATTTCAATGCAAACGAAACACAAGCATGCTTTTTCTCTAGAAAAGTCGATCTCACTGTGCCCAGCATAAAATTAGCAGAAATAACCATACCTTTGGAGAAATCAGTTTCGATGCTTGGTATTACAATCAGCAATTCTTGGGAAAATCACGTGAGATGAATTGCTACGAGTGCATCCCAAAAACTTGGTTTTCTGTTTCGGGCGAGGAGCTATTTCACTGCCAGTCAGCTGCTCATGATCTATAAGGCACATTTCCGACCTGTCCTGGAATACTGTTTCCATATCTGGAGTGCAGCACTCAAACATACCCAGAAACTGTTGGATTTTGTCCAACAAAGGGCAATTTCCAAGGAAGATGTTCCCCGAGGCATGTAATCTCCAGAAATTCAAGAAGAACACCAATTCCTACCTTATTTCCCTTAGTTTTCACGATGTTCTCTGAACATTACAGAATTTCCCTTTTCGTGGGAACCGGAAAGTAGTTGTTTTCTGTTGAATATCCAGAATGATATTATGTGCATATACATATTCTTATCTGAAGAAGAATGCAAATTCCCAAATAAAGAAAATTTTGTTTTCAAATTCTTATCGTGTGTGTTCAATAGATTTAATTCAATGCTCGTCGTGGCATATAGCCAGGAAAATAGTTTTATCTGTTGAATAAACCGAGAAAGAATTCATATTTTCATCACATAGAGAATGCGAATTCCCAATGTATTTCTAAATATTTATATCCATTTTTTTTTTCATTATTTTATCTGCGAATATTCCTTTTCAATTCTTTCACCCAATCAAGGGGTTTACACTTGAACGATGAAAACTGGTATTTTTTTAGACCTTTGATCGCAGAATCATGATAAGGATTTTTCAATTCAGAATTTTTTTCCAACCTTTTCATAATAGCTAATACTATTACATTATTGGTGGAATGCTATTTCATCAAATTATGTTCAAGATTTCTGATTTCTCAATTTCAGCAGTCCTGAGCATTGTGGCTATTTCGTAGTTGAAATAACGGCAGTCGGGCAACCAGACACTCTCGTATGTGAATTTGAAATTTGAAAGACGCCTCTGGGGAAATATAATGCCGACATGATTTTTTTATGCATATAGGCTTACCTACCTTACCCCTCCCCTACCACTTAGTCGGTGGTCTTAGGACTCCTGGCTGGAAACTGCCCTGCACTGATGAGAGTTAAAGAGCTCGAAACAGGTCTGTAGGTGTCTAGCGTGGCCTGGCTAAATCAAAATCAATAGGCATACTTGTATCAGTATTCGTTTATATGAGTCGATGCATAGATTTCGGGAGGCTGTAATTCAATGTTCTGCGTGGCAATACCCAGGAATGTAGTTGTTTTCTACCGAAATCAACCATTATTGTTTATGTATGAACATTGTGTGGATATGACTTTGGGCTATTTGTATTTATTCAGATATAATGAAGTTATCAATTTTTTATTGATCATATCAACAATGTCAATGATGATTTATTTGACTACAAATGCTCTTGTTAGTTCAACTGAGAATTTGTTGTAGACCTACTGGGACTACAGATTCTTGTTGAATCATCAGCTAATTTTCAACAGTGTAATATTCAAATATTTATGGTTTTCCTATTATTTCCTATAACTTGTATTTACAACTATCATGAAGCACGACACTGTATAATTCGACTGCTCAGTTGTTGCTTGCCCTAGATTCCTGTAGGCAGGACGCTCCCTGGAGGCGACAGGCATGGCACCCATAAATTTTATTTAGAATGTCTATAAATTTCGCGCGTTTGGTCGAATTTACAAAATAATTACGGGGTTTAGCCAGGTGAGGTTAAAGTTAAATCTCCCCTGTGCCTTAGTTTGAGCATGACATCAGTGAAATTAGTATTAGTATTTAGTAGGAGAGCCGGCTGCAGATTTCTACCGTCATCTGATAACGAAATAATATATTATGTCTCAAAGGAAAGTGAACACATTGTAGTTTATCGAACGGCACCTGTGCCAATCACTATCCTGAGCAAAATAAAAAAAATGCACTGTCCTGTGCGGAAATTTTCACTCAATTTCACGATTTGATAACGAAATAAAAATCATGCCATTCGATACCAATTGAATGGTTGATCTCAGAAACCTACTTGTGCTTACCCAGCAAACATTGAACTAGCGGGAGAAATCCGGCCTAGTGCAGGCTAGTCTGGAAAAGTGACGATGCCGGGGTATTGGTAATGGGCCGATGATTTGCTTATGAAAATACGATGATGGCCTTGTGATGGTAAGATGTCTGGAACTGATAGAATACTAACGAGATCTGGCCCTTTGCTGGCAAATCCCATGTTCGCTACTCGTCCCCCTGGTGGATGTTCTGGAAACGTCTACATAAACAATCAGCTGATCAATATTATAAGAGACTAAGATGGCTGACTCTCATGAGTAGTGATCGCGTACTAGTTTGTTTATGTCGAATTAATGTGGTCCTCTCTTTCCCTGGTGGTTTATTGATAATAATAGAAGACAGATTCTCCAATTATGATAATATTGAGTAAGTATCAATCTATACCTACATAGTGTTCCGAATTTCATTATAAAATGCATGTGTTTGGTATCTCGTAACCTCATATACCTATAATGATCATAATAATTGGAGTTGGTTATACTTCTCCAAAAGCAACTATCATATTTAACTCGTTTGTTGCTATCAAAAGCAATCTCAGGTTATGTGGACCTATCTCTATATTGAAGAACTGAATAACAATAAGGTTTCAGCTTCAGAAATACCTGTACCAAGAAATTCAGTCATCAGACTATATTATCAAGTTATAAACTCATGCAGCTCATAGGCCACTAATATAAAACAGATGATGCATTTTATATTTCAGAAGTACATCACAATAAAGAATCAACTCTGAAAGAATGCTACCCAATAAGATGTAACCAGTCAGGTCGTATTCGTGGGTTGATAAGTGAGTTTCTATTTCTTGTATGGTAGTTGTGTATGTTATTATGCTTCATAAATAAATGAATGTTTAAAAGACAATGAAATATATACAGGGTGATTCAGATAAGAACCGACATAGAGCAGGGGCATGTAGGGGGTCCCAAAATATGGCAATTTAACGCAACTTACCTCTATACCAAGTTGCTTCCCTAAGGAGATATAGGCTTTGAAAGTGAAGTTATAAATTTTGAAAAAAATCAATATCTCCGTTATTCTTGAACTTGAAGCAACCAAATTTGGTACACTTTGTGGATGTATTTAGGGCGTTACTTGACAGTGACTAGAGTTCAATTGAAATTTGTAAAGGAAGTATACCGGGTGGCGCACCATTAATATTCAACATAATTTTGTTAACACTTGATGGATTTCAAAAATCTTCGCTTTGTTTTGTGGGCAATTCAATTCTAAAACTTTTCTTACTCAAGTAATTTTTCAAAAAACCATATCATTTTCATCAAAAACTCGAATAACTGGAAACGCGCGCTCTAGGTGTGTTATTCAAAATCATCGAAAATTCAAAAGTTGGCTATGAAAATAAACGTCAAACTTGACAATGAGGCAAGTGAGTTGTTCAATTAAGTAATTGCTGTTTGAGTGTTTTCAAAATAAACGGGAAGTTTTCTTTTAACGAGCAATAAGTTGACATGCTGTTAGTGCTATGCCTATATAACTCCTTAGGGAAGCAGCTTGGTATAGAGGTAAGTTGCGTTAAATTGACATATTTTGGGACCCCCTACATGCCCCTGCCCTATGTCGGTTGTTATGTGACTCACCTTGTATAAAGCTGGTAAAGTCATAATATTCAATTTCGAAAATATCTGGTCTACATGCCTCCATGTAACCAATGTCGTTAATTGGCCATTATAGTCCCATCTATTTATGTATATGCTGG